TAATATATTTATATATACAACTATGTCATGACCAAGTGTATGCTAATTGCTACTGTCAGTTCTTGTGGTGCACCGGCTGCAAGGATACATTGTTTATGCCTATTCACGGTATTGTATATCTATCCCTCTCTCATTGATCGCGGTACGAGTGCATGTATATATGTCTCTATCAGTGATTGTACTGACGAGTTAAATGTCTATAAATATATACGTACACTTTACATACGCGCACCAAATACCCATAGTCCAGAGTCCACAGAGTGGACTTCATAAAACAATGTTGCACGGTTTCAGAAGTCTGTAAGGCATCCAGTCATTACAGAACTGAAGCAGTGATTGTTTTCTGACACTTTCACTGATGTGACTGATATCAATTTTTTATAGGTTTGGCAATGTAGAAGATATTTTGATATTAAAAAAAAAAGCCAAAATTATGAATTTTTTAGTATATTTCCGCAGCCATTTTTTTTCGCACACACAAAGGATGTAGAGACTGGATCAGGATAGATAATATAGAACTAGAAAATAATGATATACTGATCAATCGAAATAGAGAAACATTGTGTATTCATGTATTGTCCAGTAAAGCAGAAAAGTAGAATGTAAGTCATATCAAAACATAAAAGTCATATTCGAAATCCAATCAAAATATGAGATTTGTTGAAAAATCCTGATAAATATTCCATTCCCATTTTCAATTTTCTGTACTTACATATTTTGTCTATCAAGAAGAAGGCTGTGATATTCTTATATTTAAAAATACATTGTCTGATACTTAGTCGAATTAGGATGTAAAAAGCGCAAAAATGATCGAGTTTTTTACGCGTTGTTTAAAAAAAAACAAAAAACGTAAACCACAGATAAACAAAACTGCTCACTCTTCTTGAGAAATACACCCGTTTTAGATTCCTTAAAAGTATGTATTTATTTACTAATATAGCATAAACGTTTAAATGCAAGGAACAATAAGTATTTAAAACGTATTAACGAGAAGCGAATCGAGGATAGACGTTAAGTGTGTGATAGGTACATAGTACATACTACTCATTCTGATCTGATAGAGTTTAAACGTATTTTATTTAGGTGTTCGTTTATGCATGATTCATAAAAATGGGATGATAATACAACGATTGATATCGTTTTATAGGTACTACTTTCCACGCCCAGTAGCCTAGTGGACCATAACGTCGGATAACCTCTTCTTCATAGACAGCTAAATACGTATACGTTCATTGAACACTTCAGGTCATTCTCAACTGTTAACAGTGGATGCTAGCAAGCGTCTGTACTAGTAACTCGAACACCACAAACGTTTACAACATTCAGCAGACTCTTTCATTCTATTCGACTTGACGTTGTTGATTGGTGACTGAAACACAATTCGGTAATTTTGTCACATGAGACACACGTCACTCGCCTAACAAGAAGCCAGTATACACAATCATCTTGACAACAAGAAGCACACTCTATCATCGCACACTCGGTTGGTAATGGCCTCGTTAGATCAACTCGTCCCTACACAGGCACGGTGTAGATGCCACTGCAACTGCTGCACGACATCCAGTGCACGCGGGGATCGCGCCGAGTCCAAGAATGGGGTTGAATTAACCGGCTCGTTCAACGGTTTAACGTTACCCTCTCCCAATGATCTGGTTGAGAAGCTAGGCTCTACACCATCGGGTGAGGGATGGGTTAATTGGGGTGTGACAGTCGACAAGATTGTACCGGCTGTAGTGGCTTTGAAGGTTACCAGCGTGCGTGCTATTGATACGAACTCGGTATGTGGGGCTTGCTTGGATTGTATTGTATAGGTGTATGTGTATGTATAGACAAGTCAATATCTGCATATATATATATATATATATATATATATATATGTGTGTTGAGACACGACAAC